ACAGGTTCAGAGTTGCAAAGGGCAATTTCAGAACAAACACTAGGAAGTTTTTCCTTACTCCGAGGGTAATTAACGACTGGAACAAGGTTGGCAGGAAGGGTGGTTCAGGGCAGATTGCTGGGACTCGTTTAAAAGCAGCTTTGATGCTGGTGATGGGGGGAAAGTAGGGTGGGTGTTCTGGAGGGCTAAGATCAGATGGGCCAAAGGGTTGTCTTCATCTGAATCAATGTTATCATTTTTCCCCATCCCCAGCTCCCACCCCAGCTCAAGTGCCCAGCCAGTACTTTTAAGAGCAGTGACTGTATAAATTGTATGTGTTGGCGAACCTGACAGCCAATTTGCGCACAGCAATGTCCCACAAAAACTCAGGCAGGGAATGACCAATTTTATTTGGGGGATTGTCGGCCAGGACACCAGGAGAGGGAAACTCCCTTCTCTTTTCCAATAGTGCTGTAGGATCTTTAACAATCACCTGGATAGGACAGGTTTAACATCTCATCTGAAGGACGTCACCTCTGACCATGTAGTAAGACATTGGAGTGTCAGCTTAGACGATATGGGTTCCAAGTTCCGATGTGGGGCTTGAACCCACAACCTCCTGTCTCGGGGGTGAGAGTGGCGGTGCTCACTGCCCAGGCTTCCACATGAGGGATGGTCAGTGGACATGGCACTGAATGGCTGACAGTGTGTGAGGAACCTCACTCCAGCGTGAGTCACAGCCCTCAGGAAAACATAGAAAATTGAAGGGTAAAAAAATGAACCGATATTTGAAGCGCTTGACTTGTATATCAGTGTCAGTGTTTGTTTACATGGAATGGTATACCAGATCTGTCAAATTTGTTTAGTATATTGTTCGCCTCAGGCACTCCCAAGCATTGATTAATCCCTATAATATATCCTGTAAAGTAGTGTCCAGTTACACTAGGACTAAGGGGAAATACGGTGTCTGTAGATATAAAATTACGTTTACATCACAATGGGAGAGTGATTTCATAAAGCACCTTCAACATCCATGTTTCATAAGAAATATTAGACCGAGGTTCCATCAATGCCCATTCGTGTGGATGTTAATAATCCCACGACGCTGTTGGAAAAGACCAAGGAGTTTCTCTCTCCCGGTGTGCTGGCTAGTAATCTCCCAGAGAGATCGGACATTTACTTATAGGTCATTGCTGTGTCAAATTTTCTGATGAGTTTATCTTCAAAAATAATAGTCACTACACTTAATAATGAATCCTGTGAAGCGCTTTGAGATATCTCAAAGAAGTGATAAAGCTCTATAGCAAATACAAGATTATTATTCCTATATTTGATGGATAATGTCAATGGAATTTATAATAGAACCTCTTGAACTTGACTAGTATAGTGACTGTGTATTTACTGTACAGTGTAGTGACTGTATTTACTGTACAGTGTAGTGACTGTATAGTGATCTCTAAGTGAATTATTCCATAGTATTCATCAAATGCTATAATAATAATCCTTGCATTTGATACAGTGCCTTATCACATCTTCAAGACATCTCAAAGTGCTTCACAGAATATACTGTAAATTGTAGTGGCTGTATATTTTGTGGGCGAAATGCTCTTTATTTCCCCTCTGAATTCAGGTTTTATTTTTCTTTAAAAACAATCAATCTACAATACTTCTATTGAATATGTATGATATTATCTATAGTATTCTGCATGAATTATTCAAACGTATAAACAATTATATTTGAAATTGGTTAGTTTTCTAGTCCTCTGTGCTAACTGCTTTGCATTTCCCCCCGAAAGCCTTCCTTCCTTCTTATTTAATTATTTCTTGCTTTTGTGTATTTACTGTAGTGTAGTAACTGCGTATTTACTGTACAGTGTAGTGATTGTGTATTTATTGTACAATGTAGTAATTGTGTATTTATTGTACAGTGTAGTGACTGTGTATTTATTATACAGTGTAGTCACTGTGTATTTACTGTACAGTGTAGTGACTGTGTATTTATTGTACAGTGCAGTGATTGTGTATTTACTGTACAGTGTAGTGACTGTGTATTTACTGTACAGTGTAGTGACTGTGTATTGTTATACAGCATAGAAACTGCATTTACTGTGCGGTGTAGTGACTGTGTATTTACAACAACAACACTTGTATAGCACCCGCCACGCGGGTAGCATCTCAGAGTGCTTAATTCTTATTATTACATTTCACCTGAGAGATAGCCTGGCTGCTTTACTGAGGCCCTGTACTTACTATACAGTGTAGTGACTGTGTATTAACTATACAGTGTAGTGATTGTGTATTTACTGTACAGTGTAGTGACTGTGTATTTATTATACAGTGTAGTCACTATGTATTTACTGTACAGTGTAGTGACTGTGTATTCATTGTACAGTGCAGTGATTGTGTATTTACTGTACAGTGTAGTGACTGTGTATTTATTATACAGTGTAGTCACTGTGTATTTACTGTACAGTGCAGTGACTGTGCATTTACTGTACAGTGTAGTGACTCTGTATTTACTGTACAGTGTAGTGATTGTTCATTTACTGTACAGTGTAGTGACTGTATATTTACTATACAGTGCAGTGTCTGTGCATTTACTGTACAGTGTAGTGACTGTGCATTTACTATACAGTGTAGTGACTGTGCATTTACAGTACAGTACAGTGCGGTCCATAGTGATTATTTACAGCAATTGAATATGGCTGAAAAGTGCCTCTGTGTAAGAAATTCTTATAATAGTCAGGTCAGTCAGGGCTTTGCTGGACATCTGTCTCTCAGGTGAAATGTACTAATAAGAATTATTACAGCAGTAACGGGGAGACCAACTCTTCCCCCATCCCATCCCTTCCCATCCCATCCCATCCCATCCCATCCCATCCCTCCCATCCCTTCCCATCCCATCCCATCCCTTCCCATCCCATCCCATCCCATCCCATCCCTTCCCATCCCTTCTATTTCCCGCAGTGAGGCAGTGATTGGTGTCAGTCTCCCCTCCCCCCGGGGACCAGCCTTTGACTGAGTCTGTTGCTAAGGTCCTGGTGTCACAGCGTCCTTAGCAACCGCGTGGTCAGTGATCAAAGCGCCTCCGCCCTGCCCTCCCTCCCCTGCCCTGCCCTGCCCTGCCTCCCCTGCCCTGCCCCTGCCCTGCCCTGCCTCCTCCCCTGCCCTGCCCTGCCCCTGCCCTGCCTCCCCTGCCCTGCCCTGCCCTGCCCTGCCCCTGCCTCCCCTGCCCCTGCCCTGCCCTGCCTGCCTCCCCTGCCCTGCCCCTGCCCTGCCTCCCCTGCCTCCCTGCCTGCTCTCCCTCCCTGCCTCCCTGCCCTGCCCTGCCCTGCCTCCCCTGCCCTGTCCTGTCCTCCCCTCCCCTGCCCTGCCCCTCCCCTGCCCCTGCCCTGCCCTGCTCCCTGCCTCCCCTGCCCTGCCCTCCCCTGCCCTGCCCTGCCTCCCCTGCCCTGCCTCCCTGCCTGCCTCCCCTGCCCTGCCCCCCTGCCTCCCCTGCCCCTGCCCTCCCCTGCCCTGCCTTCCCTGCCCCTGCCCCCCTGCCTCTCCCTGCCCTCCTCCCTGCCCTGCCCTGCCCTGCCTTCCCCTGCCCTGCCTCCCCTGCCCTCCCTCCCCTGCCCTGCCTCTCTTGCCCTCCCTCCCTGCCCTCCCTCCCCTGCCCTGCCTCCCTTGCCCTGCCTTCCCCCCTTCCTCTGCCCTGCCTCCCCTGCCCTGTCCTCCCCTCCCTGCCCTCCCCTGCCCTGCCTTCCCCCCTCCTCTGCCCTGCCTTCCCACCCTCCTCTGCCCTGCCTCTCCTCCTCCCTGCCCTGCCTCCTCTCCTGCCTCCCTCCCCTGCCTCCCCTGCCCTCCATCCCCTGCCCCCCCTGCCTTCCCCTCCCCTGGACCACACACCCCACACAGCTCCACAAGCCGAGCTGCAAACAGCAGCCACAAGGCTCCCGACTTACCCCCAATGCGCCAACTCACCATCTTATACCTGTATTATAATATGATCGTCAACTCGGAAGTAGTCCTGTGGGGGGGAGAGAGGGAGAGGGGGAGAGAGAGGGAGAGGGGGAGAGGCACGAAACGACACATATTATTTTTGGAACATTAAAAAAAAACACCACCCAGACACAGGACAGACAGACAGACAGACAGACACACACACACTGCGCTGTCGGATGCTCCACACCATCTCCCCAGCTTGACCAGAACAGGGCAGGGAATCCAGGAGCTGCACATCTGTGCTGGAGGTTGAGCAGATGGAGGAAATAATCTCCAGTCGATAAGGCATTGGATTTTCACCCCGTTTAAGAAGTGTGATCATGACGCGGTCTCAGCAGCACAGCTTTGTGATGTGCATCATGTCATAATGCGCAGTGTGAAAGTTTTATGATAGCCCCGTTATGTCACAGCGGTGCCCAGCCATGCTCACTATCTATGCTAATAACCTTTAGCAGGGTGAGCCAGGTATTGAGAAAGCTTATTTTAATGTGAAGTTGGTATTGGTGGACTCTGGGCTTGAGAAAGAGACAAAGCACATCAGGACCAGCCACACATCGCATCCCATGCTAATAGGCTTCTGTTTGTTTTTGTAGGAACTAGAGCCACCATGTATGGGAGGTGTTGTATAGGAGACCTGGAGACCAGATGCAGTAGTGCAGGCTTGCCATGGAGGCCCAGCACCTATTACAAGCAAGCGAGCGTCAACACATCCCTCGCGCCCTTTACCAAGAACTTGTGCGGACGCCTTTACCCTCCAATGACCTCGCAACCTCCGATGACGTCCTGCCCCACGGTAACGGGGGGTCCGATAATCAATTGCCCGGTGCCTTCCTACCCCGTGATGCATTCCTGTCCCGCCATCTCTCCACGACCCCCGATCAATTGCCCGGTGGTGAACCCTTGCTCTGTGATCGACCCGTGCCCTGTGATGGACCCGTGCTCACCGGCGAGCTCTAACCGCATAGCTCTGTTCAGCAGGTACACTCCGGGCGAGTGGGTTGAGTCCAACCACAACAATTACAAGCAATCGCACTGCTCGAGGCACAACGCCGAGAAGCTGCGAGTGGACACCAAGCGACTGATCCAGGACAAGGACCAGCTGACCAGGAAGGTGCAGAATGACACCAGCAGCAAGATCGGGGAGAGGGTGGAGGACATCAGCTTCTGGAAGTCGGAGCTGGATCACGAGCTAGACCAGATGATCATGGAGAACCATGCTCTCAGCCAACTGAAGAAGAAGGTGGAGAGAGCGCTGGAGGAGACAGATGCTCACCTTCAGGTCAGACATTCCGTTCGGAGTTCATTCCAAAAGAGATTAAATTAAAAGAATGCTCAGTGTCAGATCTTAGAAACGGACCTTAGAAAAGTGTGTCATAGGAACATAAGAATTCGCTCGACGTAAGGAGACCGATCTGTTCTTTCTATCCAGTTCACCTTCCACTGTCCTGGCAGTCGCATGCAATTGTCATGTCCCAAACAATATACTGTATCCCGAGATATTATTTCCGAGAACCACGGAGAACCACATATATTGACAGCACAGAAGGAACCCATTTGGCCCATCGTGTCTGTCCTGGCTCTCTTAAAGAGCAAGCCTTTCAGTCCCATTTCCCTTTGGAGATGCAAAAATTGTCCAATTCCAGTATTTGCAGAGATTCCAAAGCTGTGCTCAGTCTCCTGGCTGTCATGTGTGAAGCACTAACCCCCCCGCCCCCCCCCCCAATCCGCCCCAGCCACTGCTACCATTTGCAGGGATACACAGTGTGTTTGTTCTGAGCACAGTCTGTTGCCTGCAGATGTGCTGAGCTGCACTGTATGTCCTGATAACATTAGCACTCGTGACGTCACAATCATGGGCCGCTCTGTGAGTATTCACAGGGGTCAAACGTGGAACATTGGCACGCAACTCAGTCATTGACACCGATCCTCACAGCAAAAGCCTCTCCTCAAGCTGTGGTTCTCGTAATCAAATGGACTATTTACACCATGGGCTGGATTTACTTGTTTGGGGTCTGATTTGTGACAATTAGAGCCATATGTGTGCAGTATATTGCAAGGATTGCAGTAAAATTATTGGTGATGGTTTTAAATTGCATGCGCTTTGTCCCCAATGCAGGATGAAACCAGAATTCTTGAGGTTAGATTTAGCCCCTGGTAATAATTCTCACTCATCAAATAACTCTCAAGATTATATTCACACTAAAAGAATCAGAAGAATTTGGGCATTTATTTGGATAAAGACATGTAATGTACACATCCCTGTGCAGGATGTACAAGGCTCCTTGTGTGTGAGTGTGAGTGTGTGTGTGTGTGTGTGCATGTCTGTGTATGTGTGTGTGTGTGTGCATGTGTGTGTGTGTGCGCACGTGAATTCATAAAGAAGGCTTTAGATGAGATATTTCACATACAATCCTTTCCTTCCCCACCCCTCAGCTCCCACCCCCACCTTAGGTGCACCGTGAAGTGCTTTGTGATTCTGCTGCTGACGTGGAAGGTGTTGTATAAATGTAAATTCTATTGTATACAATTCCTCTTTGTCGCAGGATGGATCGATTTCAATATCCTCACAATCACCTATGAATCAGTGGCCTGATACCTGCCTACCTCTTCAACCTATGTTCAGCCACTGTACAACAACAACACAATAGCAAATTACATTTGTATAGCGCCTATTCATGTCGGGAGAATGTCCCAAGGCGCTGGACAGTCAGAGATTTGCAACCGAACTGGGGGTTGAGATCAGAAGATGTGCAAAATAGGGAGGGTGGCAGTAGGAGGGTGACCAAAGCCGCGGTCAAAGAGGAGGGTCTTGAGATGGGGTGGAAGGTAGGGAGGGTGGAAGTGCGGCCGGAAGCACCATCAAACAGTAAAGTCTTGAGGCAGACCTTGAAGGAGGCAAAGGATGGAGCGAGGTGGAGGGGCTCTGGGATGGAGTTCCAGACGTTGGGGCAGAAAAGCTGAAGGCTCGACCACCAATGGTGGGGAGGGCAGGGCAGGGGACGTGAAGCAGGCCAGTTGAGCGGAGTGAGCGGACAGGTTGATAAAGGTTTAGTATGTCACATAAGGGAGGGAGTAAGTCCATGGAGGGATTTAAAGGTGAGGGCGAGAATTTTAAACCCGATCCTCAGGGGGATGGGGTGCCAGTGGAGCCGGGCGAGGATGGGGGTGATGGATTCACGGAAGTTGCTACGGGAGTTCAGAGAAAAGCTGCACTTAACTCTGTGGCGATGAATATTTTCCCAAAACAAAATAGGCCCCCAACATAACAAGAGACACGTAGCTTGAAATTCCACTTTGACTCAACCGTGAGACCATTTGATCTTAAAATTGAGGGCGGCGCAGAGTTGAGAAGCGTCTTCAATCCAGATTTAATTTGGAAGCTGGTTTGTTTCTAAGAAAACATTTTGTTTTTGAGACAAAGTGGTGCGAACTGGCTGAGATAAGGTAAGTCTTGAGCCTGCAGTGTGTGAGGAGCAAGACACCAAGAACATTGAGGAAGTTTAACAACAGTGACTGCCAAGTCACTGATGGTTAACTTTTAATTGACTATTGATTAACTATTATGTTCACTTAAGTGCAGTATCAGCGTGCAATATAATCCATGTGGTGGAAATAGTTCCCTGTTCCAATACTACTGTAATTATCCCAGTTTACTGCATTGTCAGAGATGTGGTAGTCTGTAGCTCATATTACACCCAATCCAGAACTATTGCTATCTACCCACCTAGCTGTACATCCCCGGGGCTAAAAAGAACATCTGTGCCAATTTGTCATTCCATTACATTGAGCTACTCTTTTGACTGAAACATAAGTTTGCAATACAGTTATTTGAGTAGCTAATATCTCATTATTCCACACTATAAAGGAAATATTAACTTGCTTCCTCCTAATACAGTCTGCGTCCTGAGGCGAACGATCGTCCAAAACTTTTGTCCTTCAGCCCTGCTTCGCTTTTTTTAATTTATTTCTCTTCTGCAAGGTAAGTTTGTCTGAATTCCTTGAGCTCTTATTTGATTCATCTTATTGTTGCTCAGTTCCCCTCCTTCAACACCCGACGTCCAAGGTCCTGTGTGGCTGTGATGTTAGACATGGTATTGAACTCGCTCTTCAAGGCAGAAATCCCTTCTCCTTGTTACTTAACCGATGTGAAGCTGGGAGCCCAGAAAACATTTCAGAAGTCTTCGTGCGTCAAGCTCATTCAGGCTTCCTTTTCACATTCCAAATCAGCAACAATTTCACACGGTCTCACACCAAGATCTCAAATTGAAATCTCACATAAGAACATAAGAGACGCTAGATGAAAAAAGACCAAGGTCCATCTAGTTCATCTTCCACCTTCCTGGCGGTCGTATGTGCATATGTCCCAAACTTCCAATGTACTATATCCCATAATGTTATTTCCTAAAAGAAATCTATCTAATCTGTGTATTAGAACATAAGAAATTCTAGACACTGGATCTCACATTGGATCTCACACCAATCTTATAGATTTGAAATCACGGTTCTCATGGTGAGATTATTGACTTGTGGCAGGAGAGGAAATAAATATCTGGACTGATAGTTTCCCCACAGTTTGCCTCTCCACCTAATGATTTATCATCAGCGAGAAACAAGAAGAAAGATTGATTTTGTGCACGGGATATAAAACAATAGGTGGATGGCACATGGAAGAGGGGAAGTCGAGCGAATGGCTCACAGATTGGTCTCAAGTTACGTTCAAAATGCCGGAAGCCAATTTGGAGATCAATACAGGCCCTCAATTGACTCGAAGCACAGAAAACCTCTGCACTGGGTTTCTATACTGGGGGCCTGGGTTTATTTCACCTCCCTATTGATTCCCAGTACCCTTGAATTCACGGGATACATATTTCAGTGATTTAGCACTTTGTGGAATTATGAACACAGCTGTTTGTCTGGAGAAGCAATAGGACTGTGTGCAATTGGGGTAGAATGTTGTCTCAGGTCCTGTGTGTGCAACCAACGTGTCTGATGGAATCTGCCATTACTTCCAAGCTTCACTTTTAACCACGGAGTGTGGCCAAACCATGCAAGGACAATATAAAAGTAATGTCTTGCCCTGATTCCCAATGACGTAAGTAACACATCTCAATTACCAGCAGTCTCTCCCAGCAGAAGTACTCAGAAATGGTGCAACCAGCACATTTGCTGATAACACGCATGTAAGTCCACGTCTGTTCTGTAACAGTGGAAGACGGAGAGTGAGATTAGATAGAGATAAACTTGGGGAGTACTGTAGAGGCATAAAGGAGTCTGGTGTAACACGGAGCAATGGCATTAAAAGATCTGCTAATATATAGTAAACCTGTGTTATAATAAGCTCCTGTTCATTTTCCTTTGGTCCAAACTGAGCAGCTCATGTTGGAGACAAACCCTTAGGTTGGATTCAATGAGCTGAATGGCCTGTGTCTGAGCTGTAAGGTTCTCTGACACTTTGGCTCTGACACCGACGTGGACAGCTTGATCCCGTCTGATGTCACTCAGCTGACATGAAAGAATACAAAATGGCCTGTGAACAAAAATGTTGCACGATCAGTGTCTAAACCTAAAGATGTGGCTGCGTGACTGTTGAGTTTCTTGCTTATTTCAGATGTGTCAAGAATGTTTGTACCATCGTGAGAAGAGAATGGGCATTGACCTGGTCCATGACGAGGTGGAGAAACAGCTGCTGGAGGTGAGGACACAGAGAGGTAGCGGCCCACTAACTCACACTCAACCCATTCTTATGTCTTCCAATGGATACAGTGCTATCAGTGCCTAAGATGGAGTCCCATAGCATAGCTGTTAGAGCCTTCGCCATGTAAGTGAGAGGAACCGGTTTCAATTCCCGGGCGGGGCGAAACCTTAGGCAAGTTTCACTACCCTACAAGCTTCTGTTTACCTAGCAAGAAGTAGAAACCTTGTTGTTAGTCGATTGGTGGATCGCTTTCCGGAGGTAATAATCCCTCCCCGACTCCCCCCAAAAATGTGGTCATTGAATTCACGATTGTTTGTGGGACACTGCTGTGCACAGTTGGCTGCCGCGTTTCGCCCACAAAATATAGTTGATTCACTCTAAAGCGCTTTGAGATGTCTCGAAGACATGATAAGGGGCTATATCAAATGCAACAACAAAACAACAAAATGACATTTATAGAGCGTCTTCCACGTTGGGAAGACGTCCAAAAGCACTGAACAGTCAGGTGTCGGGGCCCGACCATAGGGGAGGGATGGTGTAGGGGTGAGGGAAGGCAGAGAGGTGGGAGGGTGACTGAAGGCACGATCAACGAGAAAAGTCTTGAGACCGGCCTTGAAGGAGGCAAGGGAGGAAGCGAAGGGACCGTGGGATGGAGTTCCAGAGTGTGGGGGCAGAGAGGCTGAAAGCCCTGTCACCGATGGTAGGGTGGGTCGGACGGGAGACATGGAGGGAGTGGGCAGGTTGGTAGGGTGTCAGCAGGTCAGAGAGGTAGGAGGGCCTTGAAAGTGAGGACGAGGATCTTGAATTCGATCCTCTGGGGGATGGGGAGCCAATGGAGTAGGGCGAGGGTGGGAGTGTGGGAGTGATGGGGTCGCGGAGCCTGGTGCGTGAGAGTACACGAGCTGCAGAGTCTTGGATGATCCACAGCTCGTGAAGGGAAGAGTTGGGAAGGCCGATGAGGAGAGAGTTCCCGTAGTCGAGCCTTGATGTGCCGAATGCGTGGGTGAGAGTTTCGGCAACCTGAGGGGTGAGGTGATGGAGTCTGGCAATGCTGCGGAGGTGGTGGTAGGCAGTGCCGGTCATGGTGCAGATGTGGGGGAGATTATATTAATATCGGAGTGAGGACCGGGGTGGTGGGGGGAACCCTTCCTCTTTCTCAGTGCTCGTGCATATCCCACATATTGACTGAGCTCAGCTTCTTTCCTCCTTCTGTGCCAAAGCCAAGGTCTCAGTGCCTCAAGTACATCAGATGGACCCTTCACTCTGAGAGCTGACCACCACGATAGTTTTCTCACATCTGTCTAATAACACATAGCCGGCAGCAGCTCCCAGCGCAGTAACATGATCGAGGAATTTCAATCAGGTCATAAACGCCCAAGTGATTCATCAGAGCTGTGAGATTGATGGGTTTATTATGGCTCTTTTAAACCATTTTACTGTTAAAAGAATAATATTCATGCAGCTGTGAAGACGGACAGCATCTTTTCAGTCTCCTTCACTTCCTTGAGCAGGTGCACATACCTCGGGCTTCAGATGATATCAGCTGCCTGGCTGCCTGTAAATATCATCCCAACCCATTAGCTAATGGCGGCATTAAGTGTCAGTCTGGCTCAGTCAGCAGTGCTCTCACACCTTAAGCGCTCTGAGACGCCGTCCGGCATGAAGGGCGCTATACAAATGCAAGTTATTGTTGTCAAAAGGCTGTTGGCAAAACTTTGCAATCACAGTCCAGCATTATACCCCGTGTTTGAGGGACCGTCCATCAGATGAGACATTAAGCCAAGGCCTCACCTGTGCCTGTTCGGGTGAAGGGGAAAGATTCCATGGCACTATTCGAAAAGAACAAGAGGGGTATTTCTCCCAGTGTCCTGGTCAACAATCCTCCAAATAAGCTTGATCACTCACACCATGGCTGTTTGAGGGATGTTGCTGTGCAAAATTTGGCTGCTGCGTTCTCCCACAAAATGCAGAGTCACTACACTCTTATAAAGTGCTTTGAATGTCCTCCCGATGTGCAAGGCACTATATCAAATGCAAGGAGTATTATTGTTGTAATCATTATTGTTATTATTCTCATCGATCTTTTTGTTCTTGGGTATCTAAAGGAAATGAGAGTCATCAAATGTTGCCAAGAAAGATTGAAAAGAGGTATAGAGAGAGCCTCAGCCCAGCTATCGTAAGTGAAGCCATTTTGTAACCAGTTTACACTAAAGATCCGTCTCCTTAATAGGCCTCTAAAGATGCTGTGTACCTTGAAAACTCACTATAATTCACTATGGGGCCAAGTGTGTTTCCCTCACTGCCTCTGGTGTGATTTTCTAGGGTCGGGGGGATGGGTGGGGGTGGAATAAAGGAAATGTGTGTAAAAGTGCCAGCCTCCCACAGGAAGTACTATATACATATTCCATCCGGTAGCTTCTTTGAGCAGAAACAGGGAAGATGGTCACTGCCCAGTGATGTGAAACAGCTCATAAACCAGCCTGTCATCCAGTGTTGGCCAACTTGTGGCCCCTGGGCCAGAAGTGGCACCCGAGTGTTTGATCGGTAGGGCATTTTCAATTTATTTTGTTGGCCGACCATAAAGATTTGACACCACTGCCCTAATCACACTCGACCCTCCGCTCCCTTTGCTTATATCTCGCCAATAAGGATAAACGAGTGAGTGGCCGAATATACAAACCCGTTATATTGATTCTTCGGCAAACACTATTCTGAAAACCTTACAGAGGTTGGCCTGCTTCTGTCCCACCCTACCAATCTGACCCCACTCTCCGGAACTCCATCCAGGATGTCGCCAACTCGCTCCCCCACTCTCACCTTCAATGCAGTGCATCGCTTTTGGTCATGCTTCCCCTCCCTGCCCCCCCCATCCCCCCCACCCACACTCTCTTGTCTCCCACCCCCAGCTCGGGTGCCCTGTTAAGTAAGCATTGTGGGACGCTCTGCTAACATGAAAGGCGCAGTGTAAATGTAAATGTATACATGCTCATTGGGTTTTATTGTATTATGCAGCTCCAAGGGCACTAAAGACAGACAAAACTGCCCTATGAGAATGCAGACGGTTTCCCTGCTTGAACATGTGGCTTTGCACATTCTGGCAGGAATACCAGACAGCACTAATCACAACCTTACATTCTCTAAAGGCCAAGCATGGAAGCCTGGACTCCCTGTTTGTTCTCCCTTTGGATCATGAGTTTGATTTTTCCTCCAGACATTTTAAAAGATGTTTTAGACATTCCAACACTGCAAAGTCTCAAACGCGAGGCTTATTATTCCAACGTAATAATAAGGACTGTATTTTTTCATCCTTTGTGTGTGTCTTGCCACCTGCACAGAGATGAGCGATGAAGCAAATTGCTTTGTGCAGAGTTAACTCATTTCTGATACCGTTGCCTTTCCTGCTCATTGTGAGTGAAGTCAGTGGAATATGTGTACGTGTTGGATCCCTTCGGCGCTCATTCTGACCAGAACCCATGTTGGTGAATTCTCAGCTGAGTGTTATGACAGCGCAGAGTCATGTGCAGTTTGTTAACAGTAGTTTACGTCTTCTTTTGCCAAAAGATCTAACCGGGCAGCTCAGCATGAGCTCGAGCGAGATTTATGTGACAAGTGCACAGCTTATTGGATCGACGATAAGGCTCATCAGATGAGAAACACCTCGGACGGCATCAACTATTACTGCGGAGTTGAGCAAGTGAACGCCACGTAAGTACTGAAACGCATCTCGGGTGATTATTGGTATGTAGATTTAACCCAAGACACCACTCCCCCTACACCCCCCTCCCCCTCAGCTTGACTTAATGGCAAGCAAAGTGTTTTTAGAAAATAAACTATCACTCAGCATTATTTTTTGTCAGCCGGGTGTTCACTTTCCCCATGCTCCCCCTTGGTGATATCATCACATTTCAAATAATCTTTCTCCCTCCCCCACCCCACCCCTCAATCCATAACTGTTTGTGGGCTATTTCTGTGCACAATTTCACCCACAAAATACACAGTCAACTCACTTTATTGTCCGTGATCGTGTCTTAAATGCAAGGATTATTATCATTATTAATTATTATTATTATTTAATCCCATTCAGCCTGGAGGATTCTTCACTCCAGTCTCTGTCTCGCACAGGACTATATTCATTGGTAAAATACCAGATTGTACAAAAATCCAGTATAACATGCCAACCTGGGATTGCTTTAGCACCAGAGAAACGTATCTCTGGCCTAGTTATATTATGACTGCCACACTGACAAGATAATGGGACATGGTTCAGGTTTGGTTGTGTTTGTGAGACTTTGATAATAATGGGGTTGAACACGCACTAATTTCTAACAGGATTCCCTTAGTTAAGGACTCAAGCCTAGGCTCTTGCCAACCTGCGCCTAATACTTGCCAGAATTAGGTAAATAGATTGTGTTCCTCCAGGGATTGTGTTCCTCCAGCATGTCATTCCAACAATCTATCTCTGGGATTTCCATATGTAGGTGGGATGCCTGGAATTCTCAGTTTGTTTTGGATATTTTTAAGCAACGGTGATAGATTTCCGCATGTGTCAGACACCCCACCTGACCCCCCCAAAAAAAACACAGTTTGAGTGGGATCTCAAACGCAAGGATTGTTATTATTATTATTATTATTATTATTATTATTATTATTATTATTATTATTATTATTATTATTATTATTATTATTATTATTATTATTATTATTATTATCTCCTCCATGAATCAGAAATATGTCACACCAACTTGTGAACCTGGATTCCATTGGAGCTGATTTCCTGGGATTCAGTGGGACACATTTCCAGGTTTTCCTCAATTAAGGATTCCTGTTAGAAATTGCGGGTATTAGATGCCAGATTGGGGTGGGGAGGGGAGGGGTGATGTGGGGAGGGTGTGTATGTATCTGCTCAGCATTAACCTGCTCGAACCCGGGTTCTTGGCAGCATTTCAACTCAAGCATCGTGGGGAAAGTACACGGAGGACAATGTGCTGCGCTCCCAGTGCGAGCGAGCTGCGTCAGCGAGGCTGAGAGATGAGCTGGAGAAACTCCTCGCTGCCACGTCGGAGGAGATGTGGAAACAGTTCAACAACGTCAATCTCGCTTTCACTCACCGCATCTTTGAGATTGGCGACGCCAAGAAAAAACTACAGATGCACCTGGCAAAGGTAAGGGGATTTTCGAAGGAGACTCTCTCTCTCTCGCACTGCATTACTCAGCAGTCAGTGTCGGTGGTGTTGACTTTCAGATGAGATGTTAACCTGAGGTCCCATCTGTCTGTTCAGGTGGACGTTAAAGATCCCGAGGCACTAGTTGAAAAGAGAAAGGAGTTTCTTTCTCCGGATGTCCTGGCCAACAATCCCCCGAATAAAATTGGTCACTCACTCCATAGCTGTTAGTGGGACATTGGGTATTTTGTAGGTGAACGTGACAGCCCATTTGTGCATGGCAATGTCCCACAAACAGCCATGAAGCGAGTGACTAATCTTATTTTGGGAATTGGGGCCAGAAAACGCTCTTGTCTTTTCGAATCACGCCATGGGATCTTTAACACCCGCCTGGACAGGCCACATTGGGAGCTCAGTTTAATGTGTGATGGATGGCACTTCTGACAATGTAGCTTTGTTCCCAGTGCTGCTGTAGAGTGTCAGCCTAGACTGCTGGATATTGGCCCCATATTAAATCATGGCTTTAGTCTGAACCAAGTTAATATCTGGATAAGAGTTCACAATACGAAACTGCCATGGCATGGCTTAATTGTTATTACACTGAGTTAAAATGAACCTTTGATAGGGTGATCATACGTCCTCGATTTCCGGGGACAGTCCCAGGATGAAGTATTGTGTCACTGGAATCAATTTGCCCTGTCCTGAGTTTAGCAGCAAACTGAGCTCGCACAATAACATTCTAAATCAGATACACTCCTCATCAGAGAAACACATCCATTAATCCAACACACTTCTCCAGTAACTGCCAGCGCCGGTGATGGTGGTGAGTTCAATTGTTTTTATGTGTGTCCCTGGATTTGGTTTACAAAATATGGTCACCCTACCTTAGAGGGGTCACACAGTAGGAGTCAGAAATGTTGATTTCTGAAGAACGCCCCCTCTGATGTTATACTGAGCTATTACAGTCAAGTGCACAATGTTTTACTCTGCACCTGGTTGGTCCCACACCTTAATTCTTTCGGGGGAATTTTTTTTACAAAACTGGAAAGAATTAAAGACGTGACCATTTTCCAAGTGATGGTATTCTAATGCCTCTTTGCTCTGAATATATTATAATTATCCTTGCATTTGATACAGTGCCTTATCATGTCACTGAGACGTCTCAAAGCGCTTCACAGGGTATTCTGTAAAGTGTAGTGGCTGTGTGTTTTGTTGGCAAACCATTTTGTAGCTAGTTCACAACTCTGATCTTCTCCGCTCAGTAAACAACACCAATAACTTGCACTTATATAACAGCCCTCAGGCAGAGCTGTGTAGGACTCCCTTCAGTCACATACTATTATTATTACTCTGCTCCCCCTGTGGTTAGTGAGCACAGAATAAAGCGGCATATCGGGGCGGCCAGGGCTGGCTCTCATTAATTGCAGACCTGGCAATGGGGCCCAGTGTATGAAGTTTTTTTTTTGAAAACCTTTTTATTTCAAACATTGCCTTCAGGGCAGCAAAGCTGGAGATGGCTGAGGCAGAGCGAGCAGTTAGCAGTTAGTTCTGCCGGGAACAGCAGAGAGCGTGTGGCGTTCTCTGCAGTGGCTGAGCCAGGGTGTGTGTGTGTGCGTGTGTGTGCGTGTGCACGTGAGTGTGTACGGTTGAGTGTGAGCGCGCGTGTGTGAGTGTGTGTGTGAGTGTGTGTGCGTGAATTCCAAATGCTAAAACAATTCACAGCAAACGCGCCCGGCTGGTTTAGATTCCTGACGTTAAACCCTATGATTGACGGAGACCCTGGCAGGAGGCCTGGGACCCCAGTCCAGGTGCAGTCGGGCTCGTCGGTGGGACAAGCTGTAGGGACGAGATGTACCCTGGAGCTGCCCTCTCATCATCCCCGTGGCTCAGAGCCACATTTGGTGCAGTTAGTCAGTCAGTTAGTTAGTTAGTGTGCTAACACAACAGCTCGTTTTTAACTTTTTCGGGGAGTCTATTTTTTCTCAATGCAATTTTTTGCCCTTCATGTTTGAAATGTCACCCCCCACCCCCCCCCCACCGCCCCCCCCACCACTCCTCACTTCCACAGTCGTTTCTTAAATCCCATCACCTGCCTCATTTTTTAACTGAGCGCACATTCATGTACCCTCCCTACTGCGTTGACTTCCTCAGGCTGTATGTGTTGTGTGTGTGTGTGTGTGGGGGGGGGGGCTGTGTGTGGGGGGGGGCTGTTTATGTGTGGGGCGCGGGGGCTGTGTGTGAGGGGGCTATATGTAGGGGGGCTGTGTGTGTGTGGGGGGGGTGGGTGTGTTTGTGTGGGGTCTGGGTGTGGGGGGGGGGCTGTGTGTGGGGGGGCTGTTTATGTGTGGGGCACGGGGGCTGTGTGTGGGGGGGGCTATATGTAGGGGGGCTGTGTGTGTGTGGGGGGGGGGTGGGTGTGTTTGTGTGGGGGTCTGGGTGTGGGGGGGGGGCTGTGTGTGGGGGGGCTGTTTATGTGTGGGGGGCGGGGGCTGTGTGTGAGGGGGGCTATATGTAGGGGGGCTGTGTGTGGGGGGGGTGGGTGTGTTTGTGTGGGGTCTGGGTGTGGGGGGGCTGTTTATGTGTGGGGGGCGGGGGCTGTGTGTGGGGGGGGTGGGTGTGTTTGTGTGGGGGTCTGGGTGTGGGGGGGGGCTGTGTGTGGGGGGGCTGTTTATGTGTGGGGGGGCGGGGGCTGTGTGTGGGGGAGGTGTGGGTGTGTTTATGTGGGGGGGCTGGGTGTGGGGAGGGGCTGTGTTTTTGTGTGGGGGGGGGTTGTGCGTGTGTGGGGGGGGTGGGGGGCTGTGTGTGTGTGTGTGGGGTGGGGGGCTGTGTGTGGGGGGGCTGTGTGTGTGCGTGGGGTGGGGGGCTGTGTGTGTGTGTGTGGGGTGGGGGGCTGTGTGTGTGTGTGTGTATGTGTGGTGGGGGGCTGTGTGTGTGTGTGTGGTGGGGGCTGTGTGTGTGTGTGGGGTGGGGGGCTGTGTGTGGGGGGGGGCTGTGTGTGTGCGTGGGGTGGGGGGCTGTGTGTGTGTGCGTGGGGTGGGGGCTGTGTGTGTGTGTGTGTGTGGTGGGGGCTGTGTGTGTGTGTCTGGGGTGGGGGGCTGTGTGTGAGGGGGGCTGTGTGTGTGCGTGGGGTGGGGGGCTGTGTGTGTGTGCGTGGGGTGGGGGGCTGTGTGTGTGTGTGGGGTGGGGGGCTGTGTGTGTGTGTGGGGTGGGGGGCTGTGTGTGGGGGGGGGCTGTGTGTGTGTGGGGTGGGGGGCTGTGTGTGTGTGCGTGGGTGGGGGGCTGTGTGTGTGTGTGTGGGGTGGGGGGCTGTGTGTGTGTGTGGGGTGGGGGCTGTGTGTGGGGGGGGGCTGTGTGTGTGTGTGCGTGGGGGGGGGGGCTGTGTGTGTGTGTGCGTGGGGGGGGGGGCTGTGTGTGTGTGTGGGGTGGGGGGCTGTGTGTGTGTGGGGTGGGGGGCTATGTGTGTGTGTGCGTGGGGGGCTGTGTGTGTGTGTGCGGGTGGGGGCTGTGTGTGTGTGTGGGGTGGGGGGCTATGTGTGTGTGTGCGTGGGGGGCTGTGTGTGTGTGTGGGGTGGGGGGCTGTGTGTGTGTGTGGGGTGGGGGGCTGTGTGTGTGTGTGGGGTGGGGGGCTGTGTGTGTGTGTGCGTGGGGTGGGGGGCTGTGTGTGTGTGTGGGGTGGGGGGCTGTGTGTGTGTGTGTGTGGGGTGGGGGGCTGTGTGTGTGTGTGGGGGGGGGTGGGGGGCTGTGTGTGTGTGTGCGTGGGGTGGGGGGCTGTGTGTTTGTGTGCGTGGGGTGGAGGGCTGTGTGTGTGTGTGTGTGGGGTGGGGGCTGTGTGTGGGGAGGGGGGCTGTGTGTGTGGGGTGGGGGGCTGTGTGTGTGTGTGGGGTGGGGGGCTGTGTGTGTGTGTGTGTGTGTGTGTGGGGTGGGGGCTGTGTGTGTGTGTGCGTGGGGTGGGGGGCTGTGTGTGTGTGGGTGGGGGGCTGTGTGTGTGTGTGGGGGGTGGGGGGCTGTGTGTGTGGGGGGGGTGGGGGGCTGTGTGTGTGTGGGGTGGGGGCTGTGTGTGTGTGTGTGTGGGGTGGGGGGCTGTGTGTGTGTGTGGTGGGGGGCTGTGTGTGTGTGGGGTGGGGGGCTGTGTGTGTGGGGTGGGGGGCTGTGTGTGTGTGGGTGGGGGTCTGTGTGTGTGTGTGGGGGGGGTGGGGGGCTGTGTGTGGGGTGGGGGGCTGTGTGTGTGCGCACGGTGGGGGGCTGTGTGTGTGTGTGTGTGGGGTGGGGGGCTGTGTGTGTGTGTGTGTGGGGTGGGGGGCTGTGTGTGGGGTGGGGGGCTGTGTGTGTGGGTGGGGGGCTGTGTGTGTGTGTGTGGGTGGGGGGCTGTGTGTGTGTGTGTGGGTGGGGGGCTGTGTGTGTGTGTGCGTGGGGTGGGGGCTGTGTGTGGGGTGGGGGGCTGTGTGTGTGTGTGGGGGTGGGGGGGGTGGGGGGCTGTGTGTGTGGGGTGGGGGGCTGTGTGTGTGTGTGTGGTGTGGGGGTGGGGGGCTGTGTGTGTGTGTGGGGTGGGGGGCTGTGTGTGTGTGTGGGGTGGGGGGCTGTGTGTGTGGGGTGGGGGCTGTGTGTGTGTGTGGGGTGGGGGGCTGTGTGTGGGTGGGGGGCTGTGTGTGTGTGTGTGTGGGGTGGGGGGCTGTGTGTGTGGGGTGGGGGGCTGTGTGTGTGGGGTGGGGGGCTGTGTGTGTGTGTGTGGGGTGGGGGGGATGATTCAAGCCCACATGTTTATGGAAGCCTTGGCATTGTGAAGATTTAAATTCCACACTGATCTTTCAGCTCTCAACAATGTTGGCACTGGTTTAGAGCCTCAATCTAAACCGCTCTGTAAACACGCAATTGGGAAATCTGAGCTAGAATTGTTGTTTGTCTTCTCACAAGACGTGGGTTAAACCGTGGGTTAAACCGTGGGTTAAACCGTGGGTTAAACCGTGGGTTAAACGAGCCGGTGCTAAACTGTCAGGGCTGAGAACCAATCTCTGAGCTTGTCATTTTTCTGGCTATCTTTCAAGAGAGTTATTCTCCCCCCTACCCCACCCCCCTCTCCCCCTCCCCACCCGATGTCTTGGCCAACAGTTTCCCAGATAAAATGAGTCACTCACTGCTTGACTGTTTATGTGTGCAAATTGGCTGTTGCGTTTCACCCGCGAATCACACAGTCACTACGCTCTGCAGTGAATCCTGTGAAGCACTTTGAGTAATTCTTCCCATGTGAAAGGCGCTGGATCAAATGCGAGGATTATTTATTGTTTGATGTTCAGTGTGGACGTGATAAAGGATGGCAGACTGAGGTTTCACAAGACCCGCCGGGGCGGGGCGGGGCGGGGCGGGCTGAAATACTTGCTCTCTTTGAAAACCTGTTATACAACCTTATGGCGTTGTGTTGCATCAGATACATCGACTTAAACTCAGTTACTAACCAGAATCTGTGGCGTGGTTAGTGCTGGTGTTGAAGTAGGTCAGACTTGCAGTGGTCTTTATGATCCTGTTATATCTGGGGCAAACAATCCCCCGGATAAAATTGGTCACTCACTTCACAGCTTGTACGTGGCATGTCGCTGTGCACAAAATTGGCTGCCGCGTTTGCTCACAAGAACACACAGGCACTACACTTTAGTCATTCCTCTGAAGCGCTTTGAGATGTCTTCCCGGCATGAAAATGCGATATCAAGTGTAAGGATTGTTATTACATTTTTGTGGAGCCCTGTAGTGTAGTGGTTAGTACGCTCCTCTCACAAGTGAGAAGACCTGTATTCAATTCTCGGGCAGGACGAAACCTTAGGCAAGTTTCCTTACTCCACACGCCTCTCTTTACCTGGCAGTAAGTAGGAACTCGGTTGTTTGTCCATTGGCAGATCGCTTTCTGGGGGTAATAATCCCTTCAAAAACAAATTGGGTCACTCAATTCACGACTGTTTGTGGGTCACTGCTGTGCACAATTGGCCGCTGCGCTTTGGCCCTAAATATACAAATTCACTTTACAATATATTCTGTGAAGCACTTAGAGACGTCTCAATTATATGATAAAACATTATGTAAAACGCAAGGATTATTACTATTATTAGTGTCGTTTCCAATGCGTGTGTGTATAGGGGCAGGCCGGGGCTTTGCTGAGGGAATAGACAATAAGTTTGGAAAGCTACGGTCAACAGGACTCCACGAGCACATTGTATTGTATTCTTCCTCCGCAGGTTCTACAGGAAATCTTCCAGACTGAGTGCACCATTGAGGAGCTGAAGATGGCCATCAGACAAAAGGAAGCTCCCATGAAAGTAGCACAAACCCGTCTGGAGGAGAGGACCAAAAGGCCCAACATGGAGCTGTGCTGTGATCAACCTCAGCACCGGTGAGTGGCACCTAAACTATGTATCTTCCTTGGACGTACTCCTTGGCTCTCGTCAACATCTTCACTCCTGCAGATCTAAACTCCTCAACCTCCCTAAGACTCACCGAACCAGTGCGCAATCTAGGTGTCCAGTTCGACCCCCAGATGTCCTTCCTCCCCCACATCCGGTCCCTGACCAGGACCACCTTCTTCCACCTCCCCCACATTGCCCGCCTCCGACCGTACCTGACCCCAAATGCAGCCGAAACCTTCGTACGTGCGTTTGTCACCTCTCGCTTGGATTATTCAAACGCACTCCTCGCCGGTCTCCCCAGCTCCACTATTCACAAGATCAGCTCATTCAGAACTCTGCCGCCCGCATACTGACCCGGAACAAACTCCATACCCACATCTCACCAGTTCTGGCCCAGGCTCCACTGGCTCCCCATCACCGAATGGATCGACTTCAAGATCCTCACTCTCATGTTCAAATCCCTTCATTCTCTGGCACCTCCCTCCCTCTCCGACCTGCTCACTCCTCAATCCACCACCTGGCGCCTCCGCTCGACTGGCGCCGGTCTCCTGCTCGATCCTCGTACCCTCCGCCCCACCATCGGAGGTCGCGCTTTCAGCCACTACGCCCCGAAACTCTGGAACACTCTCCCTCAATCCCTCCGCCTCGCCCCCTCTCTTCCCTCTTTCAAGTCCCACCTGAGAACTTTCCTCTTCGACCTTACGTATGGCCAACTCCCCCCTCCCCCCCAGGCTTGGAATCAGGCTCCACCACTGTTAAGTGCTCTGAGACACTACCCTGTGTGGAGGGCGCTATATAAATTCAAGTTGTTGTGTTGTTGCATCAGTGTGGAGGTTGCACAGCCACCTACATCACGTGCATGTTTGTAGAGACTGAACCATTCATACTGCTTTTAACAGCACAGCTTGGCTCATCAGCAGGACTTGGAAGGGCAGACCAGTCACTGGGGGCAGGGAATCCTCCCACTCAGCTCCTGTTAACCCTGCAAGTCAATAGCCCTAAATGGTAGGGTGGTCCTAGCTGGACAAGCAGCAGGAAAGCTTGCCAGACAGTGCTCTCTATGGCAAACTATAACGTTTTAGCTGGTTAGACTCCAGCAGTTACTCCCAATGCACACTCTGGAGTCCCCAAACCTTGGCTCTTGTCAACCTGCGCCTAATACTTTCCGGAATTAGGTAAGCAGAATGCGTCCCTCCCGGGAGAGAGTGCGCATTCCATTCCAATAAATATCTCTGGAATTTTCATGCGTGGGTGAGATTGATAGAATTCTTAGTTTGGTTTGGATACTCTGAAGCATGGTGACAGGTTTCTCCATGTGTCAGACACCTGGCTGACCAAACAAAACACACCATTCATAGCGATTCATATCTGCCAACTGATAGTCAATATAATCAGTCAATGGGCATAATCAGGGTGGTCATCAACACCCAAAGATTTCATTTTAGGGCTTCTGCCTGATGTCACTTCTCTATTGAGATCTTCGTGTACAGGTCCCCTCATTTCAGCCCTTACAGTCCACATGGTCCATCTCATACACATGGCCTTGCTATCTTCCTACCAGCTGTAGTTAAACGTCACACAAGCCCTGCCCATTGTAACCATTCTGGAACGTGACTGGCATGAAGCACGGTTTCAGATTATTTCAAGGTTGGTCTTTATCTACCAGCTGATAACCGACATCTTCCTTTCACAAACATCTCCACAAGTCTCCAGTCTGTGCTGTTGTGCCCTCTACTCTCACCATGACAGCCTCACACACAGCCTCTGCAGGATATCTCTCCTCACAATGAATGGACAATTGCTTGGCACAGATAGATTGATGATTGAAATCAAAGTAGGTCATCCGCAATTAGGTCTGCCATTGCTCTGATAAGTTGATTACATGCTCGGAAATGCTGAGAATGATTTGGAATAACTTGAAACGAAAGCCAAAGTGACTAGCTCAAAGCTAAAATTGATCAGAACTGGGGCAGGATTCTTCCTCCATCTAATGATCCTGAGGCAATTGGAAAGAGACGCAGAGCATGACAAAGAGTGCCAACCACAGCAGACTAACATTTCCATGTGAGCTCGAGTAACATTTCGCAAAGGGATGAATGGCCAAGTGTAAACTACTGTTTGCTGTATTTGGATGAAGGGGCAAGGATTATCCCCAGCAGTACCGTAGAATCATAGAATTATGCAGCACAGAAGGAGGTCATTCGGCCCATCGTGTCTGTGCCGGCTCTTTGAAAAGCGCTTCCAATTCAATTCCAATCCCCCGCTCTCTCCCCAGAGCCCTGCCAACTTGTCCTCCCAAAATTATTATCTTCTTCTCTTAAAAATTGTTATTGAATCGGCTTCCACCACACTTTCAGGCAACGCATTCCAGATCCGAACAACTCGCTGTGTGAAAACATTTCTCCTCCCCTCTCCTCTGTTTCTTTTAACAACTATTTAAGATCGGTGTCCTCAGGTTACCGACCCACCCACCAGTGGGACTAGTTTCTCCTTGTTCAATTGTGTGATTTGTATATCTTGTCGCTGGTCATTCTGTAAACATGGTGACCTCTTTATATTATATTCATGGGACATGGCCTGTCCCAGGACGGGAGGATTCTCTGTCTCTCTCTCTTCCCTCGCACATTTTTTTATGTCCTCTCTCCTAACTGTTTCTTACTTATGAGGTCCAGGGCTGAGTGACTCTCAGTTGTGAATGATGAGAATAGTAATATCTATCCAGTGGTGTGTCAAAAGTTTGTGTCAGACTGGTGCAATAATCTCACTCTCACCTCTGAGTCAGAAGATTATGGGTTCAAGCACAACATTGGGACTTGGAATCATATAAACTAAGCTGATGCTCCATTGCAGTGCTGGGGAGTGTATTTCATTGTAGGACGTGCGGTCCTTCGGTTGAGACATCAAACCAGGGTCCCGTCTCTCTGCTCAGGTGGACGTTTGAGAATCCCATGGCACTACTGGAAAAGAGAAGGGAGTTTTTCTTTCCCGGTGTTCCAACCAACAATCCCCCCATATAAAAAAAATTGGTCATTCACAACTGTTGGTGGGACATTGCTGTGGTGCAACTGGCTGCCGCATTTTGCCCATAAAATATACAGTCACTCCACTTTACGTATATCCTGTGAAGCGCTTTGAGACGACTCAACAACGTGATAAGGCACTATATCAATTGCAAGGATTATTATTAGCTGGTCATTTCCCACATGGCTGTTTGTGAGACCTTGTTGTCTCAAAGAAGTGACAAAGCTCCATATCAAAGGCAAAGACAAGGATTTAACAGTTCTCTTTGGCCTGTAGGTTGGTCTGTGAGGTCTACACGATCGATGCCACCATACAGATGTTGAAGCAGCGTCTCCAGGAATCACAGAACGCCCTGCAGCTGCTGGTGCAGACCAAGTCCATCCTGGAGCACGAGATCGCCATCAAGGCCAACTCTCTCTTCATCGACCAGGAGAAATGCATGGGAATGCGCAGGACCCTCCCCAACACCCCCCGTCTCATCGGCTGCACCCAGATCAACACGGGACACTACTGCGCCCGCCCGTCTCCTGAAAAGAAGCCCTGCAACTGCGGATGCAAAGGGAGAAAGAAGAAAGTAACATAATTCAATTCGGAACCATAGGACCCAAAGGCTTCAAGGCCAAAAGCGTGTCGGAATTTCTTTCCCAAAACAAGTTTTGACTATCGAGTGAAAATAAAATAAAAGAAATTGGTGCTTTAACCGGCTTGTGATCCATGATTTTTATTTCGTTTTTCAAAAAATAATTATTTATTATAAATTATTTCTAAAATATAATTTAATATTTATATATAATTTAATATTTATTATTTATTAAATTATTATTATTAATAATAATAATAGCCTCTGTTTGCCTAGCAGTAAATAGGAACCTGGTTGCTAGTCGATTGGCAGATGGCTTTTCCAGGGGGAATAATCCCTTTAAAAAAAACAAATGTGGTCACTGAGTCCACGACTGTTTGTGGGACACTGCTATGCACAATGGTCTGCCGCCTTTCGCCCACAAATTATTCTGTGAAGCGCTTTGCGACGTCTCGAAGACTTGACCGTCCCCGTCACACCATCGAGTTGCTTTTTAAAAGAGTCCCCGTCACTTCCCATCGAGTCCAAACCATCCTGTTTCTGGTGACATGTTGCAAAAGCATCAGGGAAGAATAAACTGCACAATCTCTGTGTGTTACAGCCCTGTTTTCGCAGCGAGTGCTACTAGCTAACCAATAGTTATCAGCTAAGCTTGTGCAATAAGACCCACTGTTAGAATCCTGGTATTTGGTGGAGTGGCTTATCACATCGGAAAGAAGTCTCAAAACACTTCGCAGGATTTACTCTGAAGTGTAGTGACTGTATATTTTGTAGGCAAACACAGCAGTCAAGTTGCACCTAACAATGTTTTGCAAACGGCCATGAAGCGAATGACTAATTTTATCGGGGGTTTGATGTGGTGCTTAAACCCACCACCTTCTGACTCATAGAGACCAGAGTGCTCCTGACTGTGCCAGGCTGGCACCAACAATAGTACAACAACAACAACTTGGACTTATATAGTGCCCTCCACGCAGGGTAGCGTCTCAGAGCGCTTAGAATAAGCAACAGGCTCAGGAAATAATTAAAAATGTGATATCTTGAGGCTCAGATATCTAGTATTTATGAATTATTTTTACAGTTTTATTATTTAACAGCACATAAATTGTTTGATTAGATCTGGTAAACTCCCTTTTAATCTGCAAACAATTGGCTGCGTTATGCGTTTCCTTGTTTGTATTTCTGATCTCAGCACTGATTAGCTGCTCAGGTCAGTGCGAGAGAAACTCAGCAATGTAAGCACGGCCGCTAACAGCACACAGATGTCTGGCAGCGTGGCCCACAACCAACACTGAGCTGCCACCTCACCATTTCCCCTGGAAAGTGTGAAAATTGTGTCTTAATTTGCCTTAATGATAATACTTTGAGCCAGCATCTTTCACATCTGGTTGACATCGCAAAGAGCTTCAACAACAACAACTAAATTACATTTGTAAAGCGCCTTTCACGTTGGGAGGACATCCTAAGGCGCTGGACAGCCAGTGTTTCAGACCCAAGTTGGGGGTCGGGATTGGGGAGGGGGGAGGGCAGGGGAAGAAAGGAGGGTGATCGAAAGCACGGTTGAAGAAGAGGGTCTTGAGATGGGTCTTGAAGGAGGCAAGGAAGGGGGTGAAACAGAGGGTCTGTGGGATGGAGTTCTAGCAGGTCAGGGCAGAGTGGCTGAAGGCCTACCCGCCAATGGTTTGGTGGGCAAGGCGGGGGACGTGAAGCAGGCCGGAGCCCGCTGAATGGAGGGAGCAGGCAGGTTGGTACAGGGTTAGGAGATCGCAGAGGTAGGGAGGAGTGAGGCCATAGAGGGTTTTGAAGGTGAGGACCAGGATCTTGAACTGTATCCTCTGTGTGATGGGAAGCCAGTGGAATCAGACGAGGATGGGGGTGATAGGGTCACAGAGTCTGGTGCAGGAGAGGACATGGGCTGCAGAGTTCTGGATGTCTGCAGCCTATGGAGGGAGGAGTTGGGGAGGCCGACAAGCAGGGAGTTTGCATAGTCAAGACTGAATATCATGAACGCGGGTATGAGGGTCTCGGCGGCCTGCGGTGTGAGACAGTGGCGGAGCCGGGCGATGGTGGGGAAAGGTAGAGCGGGTCATGGTACGGATGTGGGGTAGAAAGGATAGTTGAAGGTCAAATAAGACGCCAAGGTTCCGGACTGGCTTAGTAAGTAAGATGGAGTGTGCAACCACGGATAGTGATGCTGTCAACTTCGCAGGATTTTACCGTGAAATACATTGACTGTGGAGAAAACCTTTGTGGGCAAAATGCAGCAGTCAAATTTATGCAGAGCAATGTACTACAAACAGCCATGCAGCTGTGTCTTTACTACATATGCACATGGGGAAGTGAACCTGCTGTGTAAAATGATTGGGTCAACGTGCCCTTGAGGCAAACCTTGCGTGTTCTCTCTCTCTCTCTCTCTCTCTCTCTCCCTCTCTCGTTCTCTGTTTCCTCTCCATCCCCACCCCCCCCAGCCTCGCTCGCTCTCTTAACCTTCCTACCTCTGTCTCTCCTCCTTGCTCTCTCTTTCCCTCTCTCTCTCTTTCCCCCCCTCTCGCTCTCTCCCTTCCCCCACCCCTCTTTCTCCAGACCACATCTTGTAGGTCGGGAAAAAAACAACCCATTAGATTGTGGGAATGCTTTTTCTGCAGGAATCCACATTAGAAAGTTTAACCCAGATGTTTTCCCATAATACTGAGGAAGGCAATCTCCAAGCCACCTGCAACTGTTTAACGTTGGAGCTCCTGCATGGCGTTGTGTAATGATAGAAATAACCCTCCTCGCCGCTCTCCCCAGCTCCACCAGTCACAATGTTCAACCGTGAACTCCGCTGCCCGTATCCTCACCTTTAATAAATTCCGCAATCCGTCATCCCAGTCCTTGCCAGTCTTCACTGACTCCCTGTCACAGAACGGATACATCTCTGGATCCTCCCACTAACAACAACAACAAGATTACATGTGTATAGCTCCTTTTACGTCGGGAGGACGTCCCAAGGCGCTGGACAGAGTACAGCATTTCAGACCCGAGCTGGGGTCAGGAGGGGGGAAGTGGAAGGGGGGGTGGCCGATGGCATGGTCGAAGAGGAGGGTCTTGAGGTGGGACTTGAAGGAGGCTAAGGAGGGGTCGAGGCGGAGTGATTGGGGGATGGAATTCCAGAGATTGGGGGCAGAGTGGCTGAAGGCTCTCCCGCCAATGGTGGGGCGGGTGGGTCGGGGGATGTGGAGCAGGCCAGAGCCGGCTGAGCAGACGGAGTGGGTGGGTTTGCATAGTCAAGCCTCGATTGTATTGAAAGGGTTTTGGCAGCCTGCGGTGTGAGACAGTGGTGGAACCGGGCGACGTTGCGGAGGTGGGGGAAGGCAGAGCGGGTTATGGCGCAGGTGTGGGGTAGAAAGGATAGTTGAGAGTCAAACAAGACCCCAGGGTCACCTATACTCACCTCTACAAAGCTCACGCCTCTCTTCACTACACATCCCTGCTGCACTAACACTGAGAGGCTGGTGAGGAGAGAACTGCTCACACAAGTGCATGCGCTGCTGTTCCCCATTGAGCAGCTGTGCAGTTACGCAGCATGTGACCACAGCTGCCCATTCACTGACACTCACTACAGAAGCCTCACCGAGTTCAGCTCGGAGCAAAAGCGTTTGATAATCAATCAAGATTGAAGGGAAGCCGATTGAAGGTGATGTTGGTGAGAATTCATCACCATTTTCATAGCTTTGAGCAGATCTGAACGAGGAGGACCCCCACCCCACTCACTATTGTATTATACAGACAACAAGGCACAGACTGCACTGAGCAGCTAAATCATGAGCTCAATTATAGGGAACAACTTAGCATCTTCAATACCTCGGCTCAGCCCTCTCATAGGAACATAGCTATTGCTGGAGGAAAACAGACCCAGGTCCATCCAATACACCTTCTACCATCCTGGTAGTCGCATTCTACAATAATGGAGATGTTGATAGTAATTAATTCTGTATGGATTAGTCTACAACAGAGTGGACAGCTTTGGGAACCTTAGATCCAAAGTTGCCTTGTTCTTCTAATCCACACCACACTTACTATATGTCATGTCTCAACTTACTCATGTACCCACATATTATTTTCTAAAAGAAATCTACCTAATTTGTATTTGAATCAATCTCCAACGGTGATAGGGAAGTAAACTACTGTAGTGATGATTTAATCTTGAATTATAATCCTTGCATACATGCAGCGCCTTTCACGTCTCCAAGTGCTTCACATGATTTTTACTGTAAAGTGAAATGACTATGTGCGAGCAGGTAAACACGGCAGCCCAATTGTGCACAGCAACATCCCGCTAACAGCCCATAAAACAAATGATTAATTTTATATTGGGGGGGGATTTATATAACAAGCGAAAGGTGGGATACCAGAATTCAACAACAACAACAACAACAAGATTCCATTTATAAAGCGCCTTTCATGTCAGGAGGACGTCCCAAGGCGCTGCACAGTTGGGTCATGACCCGAGCAAGGGGAAATGGTCAGGGTGAGGGAAGGGAGGAGCAAGGAGGGGGGAAATGGTCAGGGTGAGGGGAGGGAAGGGAGGGAGCGAGGAGGGGGAAGAGAGTCGAGAGGGGAGCTGAAGGCACGGTCAAAGAGGAGGGTTTTGAGGCGGGACTTGAAGGAGGCTAAGGAGGGGGCGAGGTGGAATGATTGGGGATGGAATTCCAGAGGTTGGGGGCAGAGTGGCTGAAAGCTCTCCCGCTGATGGTGGGGCGGGTGGGTTGGGGGACGTGGAACAAGCTGGAGCCGGCTGAGCGGAGGAACGGGCGGGTTGGTAGGGGGTTAGGATGTCACAGAGGTAGGGTGGGGTGAGGCCATGGAGGGCTTTGTAGGTGAGGACCAGGATCTTGAACTGGATCCTCTGAAGGATAGGGAGCCAATGGAGTCGGGCAATAATGGGAGAGATGGGGTCACAGAGTTTGGTGCGGGAGAGGACACGGGCTGCAGAGTTCTGGATTACCTGCAGTCTGTGGAGGGAGGAGTTGGGAAGGCCGACACGCAGGGCGTTTGCATAGTCGAGCCTGGAGGTGATGAAGGATTGAACAAGAGTTTCAGCGGCCTGAGGCTG